ATAACTGCCAATTTTTTAAATTGGGTGGTAGGGAGTCATATAGTCAAGTTACGTAAAACACTGAGTGTTTTTTTTCTCTCTTTTTATTCTGTATAATGTTAGCGTTAAATTTTGTAAGCTGTTTTTGCAGGATATAGGCACAATAAGAATGCCCTGATTATGTAAGCTCAGGAACTCTCCGATTCAGTGTTAATGTTTTGCTTCATTTGATAATCTGTGATACATGCTACCATGACACAGGGCAAGGTTATTTCCTAGTAATAATAGCTAGTATTTATGGAAACTTACCATATGACAGTACTGGTCTAAGCGCTTTAAGTGTATCAACTCATTTAATCCTTACTCTAACTCTGAATCATAGATGCTAATGTTATCTTTCTTTTACAGATGATTTATCTGAGGTATTAGAAGTTGAAGTAATTGGCCCCATATTGCAGAGCTGGTAAGTAGCAGAATCTAAGAAGTCCGACACCTGAGCCCAGCATTGGTACTTTTCTTTCAAGAAGACTTGAGATCCCTTGCTTGATTTATGCTTTCACTGAGGAAAAAAATGTTACATTTGTAAAGCTATTTTCTGGAAATTATATAAATCAAGAGGTTTCTGAGAATCTTCTTTTTTATTCATATGTAACTAAAAACCAGCATGAGAGTTAAATGCTGCACATTTAGAATAAATCAAGCCCTACAGCATAAGAGAAACCCTGAAGAAATTCACCTTCCAGTGATGGAGATGAAATGCACACGCACTACAGTGCAACGTGGAGGGCGGAGAGAGCCCCACAGGGTAAGGCAGGGACATGGGGTGTGGAGGAGGGGGGTGAGAGGCGGACTGTGTTAAGAGAACAGAATGGAGAGGGTGTGCTTGAGAGGACAATGAAGGCTACAGGAAGGTAGTGATACAGGAGACAGTTCCTGAAAGACTGATACTATTTATAAGTTTTATTGTTCCATTCTGAATATAAAAAAACATATACTCATTGTAGACGTCTTAGAAGGCACAGAAAATCATAAAAACAACAATAAGAATCACCATACTCAGAAATAATCACATTTTGGGGTATTACAGACTGGGTACAATTTTAACAGGCAGTGATTAGAGTGGAGACAATTTTGTGAGAACAAAGGCAGAGAGGTGGGAAAGACAGGATTATATTCATGTACTGTTAAATAACTGGAACAAAAGGAAGTCGAAGGTAAATCTGAAAGAGTAGATTAGGGGATTTGATCATAGCAGACTTTAAATGTGAGGGTGAGCAGTGGGGAGCTATTGAGAGTTTTAGTGCAAAGGAAGGATGAGTTGGAAGCCATGCTTAAGAAACATTAACCATCAAAAAAAATTGGAGAAGGGAATTATGGGAGTTGAGAGCACTTGGTAGTTTATTATGGGTACCTAGGGGGTAAAATCATGTATGTAATCCTGAACTGAGGAGAAAATGATAACTAGAAAAGGGAAAATACAGGACCCATAACTGTAGAGATAATAAAGTCCTGCACGTCTTGCTTAAAATGAGTGTGTGTACAGTTTTTATTACCTTTCATTGTATTTTTCTTATTTTGGGAGAGCTGGAATGTTGCAAGATTGTAAAATATCAATTTTAACAATTATGTAAGAGTAGTTAGCTTCTTAGTTATTAAATAATTTGTTCTACTTTTGGAACAAAATACATAAGACAAATAAGAATCAGTTACCTTCACAAACTAAGGATTTTCTACAAAAAGATCCATTTTTCACAAGGATTTCAACAAAGGCCTTCATAAATTTAATTTTTTTGCCAAAAATAAGTGAGTTGTAAGGATTTATCAAATGTAAATCTTTTTATTGACTTTGTTGCATTAATAACAGTTTATATCATATATCCTATGAACTATATAACAGAAATAATAGACAATTCAGCAAGTCATTTCTATTTAAACTTAATTAAGGGGGAAATGATGTTATGATGACAAAAGTTTAGTACTGTCTCTACATACATTTAATAAATTGCGTTAGTTTGCTTTGCATTTTTAGATATTGTCTGTTATTTCTTTCCATGACTAGTGCTAGATGACATTATAATTCCTCTCAAAGATAAAAGAAACATTTCAGAGCAGTTAGAACAGTTATTTGTACTAGAAACGCTGGCTTCTTTTCCCAGATCTGACACTAGGAAATAGATGACCTCATGCTTCATTTTTCTCATTTCTGATATAGAAATAGAAGTTGAAGAAATTGTAGAAGTTGAAGAAGTTGTAGAAATTGAATTGAAGTCTCCATCTGTATATGTGTTTACGTATACATTCTAGGCATTCCGTAAATGTATATGTAGTATACACATCTGTAAAAAAAGTTTTCTGTTAAATTTTGCAAGATGTATTTACACCAAACACTGCAGGCACGCTTCCAGTTCCCTTTGGGTTCCTTATCCCACTGCCCCCTGCTGCCTTAGTCAATGACTGGTTGGCCAAGGAATATGAAAGCCCAGCTTCCTTGTCTAAGTTGGGTGCAACTCTGAGGCCCAACTTAATATTTCAGAGCTCTCCTGTGGGATCTGCCTGAAGTGATCCTCCATAGGATTTTGCCTGACATGGCACCCTTCTTAGCTTCTTCTCTCTCCTTCCATGTCCTGCGTCCCATAGCTCCTTACCACTTTCTCCTGGGAGCACTTAATGGTCTCTTGTACATGAATTCTCTTCTCAGAGTCTTATTCTGGGGAATCCAACCTAATACACTATAACCTAAAAAACAAAAGTGAAACTAGTATAAAGTTTACTAAAAACATATTGTAATTTTCTGTTAAGAAACCAGGCCATGGATGTGATAATAGCAACTATACCACCATAGAAATACGTGAAAAAGCCTAGATTCAGTAAGAACTGTTAAATGTGCTTTTCCAAAAATATTGTCACGTCAAACTTAAAAGGAGAAAAATTCAATCTGTGATTCAAGCTTTTCATAACAGCGATAGCTGCCATTTATTGAATTCTATCCTATGATTATCATTGTTCTAGCATCTTCACGTATCTTTTGTCATTTAGTCCTCACAACAATTCTATAATGGAGGCATTTTCTTTATTTCTCGTGTGTTTAGAGTGTGACTCTGAGATCACACAGCTTAGTAAATACCTGAACCAAGATTCAAACCCGGATCTAATCTGACACTAAAGTTCATAATCTTTCTACTTCATCTCATTGTATTGTTCTTCTATAAGAGTGTCCTGCAATATAGTGGGTGCCTATGTTCGTTGACTTACTATTGATTTTCTTCTGACATTGACAAGAAATGATGAGGTAGTATTTATCCAATGACTTTCATTAAAGAACTTACTCTTTGCAAATATAAACCAAGCTATTCCAATTACTTCAAAGGATTAAAAAGTAAAATTTCTCAAATCTTATATTTTAAGAATGCCAAGATTTCTCTGGTTTTGGTTATGTCATGGAGGTGCCCATTAAGGCAGTCATCAACAACTTGCTTGACCAGCTAGTGCAGGAAAGACAGCAATAAACCATTATGCAAGTGCTGAGTCTAGACAGAGCTATTACGCTCAATACCCCATGGCTTACACATAACTACTTAGATGGCTTAGACAATGACTCTGACCAACCATTTTTCTGTGGTGGTCATTTCTGACATCTTAAGGCTGATCAACTTATTAGATTTCTATTACAGCATGCTATCATGAAGTACATTCAGTTGTAAGGTTGTATCTTTTATCTGTAACAACTGTGAGGAAAATCAAGAATGTCCACACAAATGTGGCACAAGAAGCTGAAGCCATTTTGTTCTTTGTGGTCAGACACAACAACATGTAATTCATATAAATCTTTGACACTGAAAGTAGCGTAACTCAAGTGGATGGCATTGCATGTGTCTGGCCTTACAAAATAAAAATACCATCTTCACATCCTGTGAGCTCTTCCTTTCACCCTATGGAAGCAAATGTTTTCATCCCTGGAAGAGTTCTACAGTTGGTGCACCACCCTGAGGATTGCTGTTTGACCTTAGCAATTACTTGGGTGAAGAGACTCAATTTAAGAATGGATGCTAATGAAGTCCAGCGAAGGAATGATTTATTGAAGACAGGAAAGCGGAATTTTATTTCTGTAGCTGTAGATTATGTTGAAATCAGAAGTGATTCATTTTCAACTGTCTCTGTAAACATGGAAAGTAATTGGATGTCATCATGGGTTGAATTGTGTCTCCTCAAAATGTTTTGAGGGCCGCCGCGCAGGTGGGTGCTGACTGTGGGGAGCGTCGCAGGGTGCCTGGCACTTGGGGGTGGGCGCCGCAGGAGTACTGGGCTGGGAACCCGAGGCAACAGCCCACGCCTCACTGTCCCAGGCCGGGAGATGCACAGAGAGATCACTAAGGAGCTTTTCGCAGACGGAGGGTGTCTTTACTGCCTGGATCGGGGTCCTAGGAGAATAACCTCTAAGGCCCTCCCAGGCTCGTGGGCCGGGCACCCGAAAGCCGAGTGGATGTGGGCGGGTGTTTGTGCCTGCAGGGGTCCCCGCAGGCGGGAGGTGGTGGAGAGAGAGGCACCTGTTGGAGAATTCTGCAGGCTACCCGCCGACCCCTTCACCCAAATAGGCGGCTCGTTGATTTCCGCTGGGCGAACAGGTGTCAGCATGTGCATTTCAGTGCCCACCTGCGTGTGGCTGACTGATGACGTAGAGGTTTTGCGAAATTAAAAAAAAAAAAAGATTTTGAGGTCCTAACCCCCAGTATCTGTGAATGTGACCTTATTTGAAAAAAAGAGTCTTTGTAGATGATTGAGTTAATTATTTGTGCTACACCTATTCAGAAAGACTCCAATTCCCATTGTTACTGTCTAGTACGTCCTTAGCCCAGCATTTCAGGCCCTCTATATTCCTGACTCTATGTACTACTTTCAACTTCATTTTCTAATAATATCATACATAAATCATTAATAGTCTAGTCAAGTTGATCTCTTCCTAGTTCATTATACACTCTGTGAAAAGCCCCAACTTTCTGACTTTATTTCCACTTCTCTGCTTGTCAAAAATGTCCTCTACTCTCTTCATTTTTCCAAGTCCTATTCTTATTTCAAGGCTCAATTTACCTGCTAGCATTCTTATAAGAATTTTCCAGAATGCACTAGAGTGGGTAATGGTCCTCTGCTTTGAAGTCCTACACCACTTACTGTCTTTGTATATTTGATCTCAGTCTAGCTAAATATGTATTATTAGGTATATCTTTTTTGGGCATATCTTATCTCTCCAACAAGTTTCAAAATTCTCTCTTTGTAGTCTTAAACATCAGTTGGCAGTAGTGATATCAACAATAATTGTCAATTTTTTTAGGAAAATTGCCTGAAATTTAGGGATACTTATAAGAAAAGGGTAATCTCTTTGCACCTCATAAGAGGCAAATAAGTCAACATTATTGATGTTATAGAAGTGAAAACAAATTGAGACAGATTAAGTGGCTTCTCTAAAATGAGCCCCAACATTCAAGGTAAGACGGTCAACAAAGAGGCAAAGGCTGAATACAAATTCAGTTCTTCTAACTTAAGGCCCAAGACTTAGTTATTCATCCAGAATTTTAAAAATATTAATAGGTGTTTAATATGAGGGAGACAAAGATGAAGATATAGTCACTGCCTTAAAATGTTCAAGATATTTTGGGAATAACATATATAAATACTATAAACCTGTCTCTAGTGTACCACTGAGTTTTTCTGCTATAAAGAGTTTTTGTTAATTACAGTATCAATTAGAGAATATATGGGAAGGTATTATGTATTTTGTGATTCTGTGTCACATGGCCGTGAGTGCATAGTCAAATTTTATTGAGGAGTGAACATGGAATTACTGAAGAGAACAAAAGATTTGGACAATTCCCAGGCCAGGACTTAACAGACCTAGTTAGTAGGTCTCTACTTAGACCCTATTTCCAAATAAGGTCACATTCACAGATATTGGGGTGTTAGGACTTCAAAATCTTTTGAGGGGACACAATTCAACACATGATGGCATCCAGTTACTTTCCACGTTTACAGAGATAGCTGGAAATGAGTCACTTCTGATTCCAATGTAATCTACAACTAAGAGTAGTGAACTAAAATAAAATTCATTTGACCCACGGTATGGGATGGATGGTGCTAAGAAAAATGTAGTTTTATGAATTAATTTTTAAAAAATCTTTAAATCAAAACTTTCTAGCACTTGTACTAGTGTTTTTACATCAGAGAGTATAAATAGAGTAATATATATCAGAGAGAGAGAGAAAGTGCCTTGTACTCCCAGCCAAGATTTTCCACTCTTTCAAGAGCTCAGATACAGCTTGTTCAATATGAAAGAGCAATTATTGTTCTTGTATAAAGATGGTTCGTGTAAGCAGGTAAGTGCTCAATAGGTGCTGTGTTTTCCTACCTGCCTGCTGTACTCCAAACATATAGATCAATAGAAGAGAAAGTGTTCCAGAATACATTACGTTTAAAGAGTGCTTCACATAGACAAATTTATTTCTTTTATTGGTTCTTAGTGCATTTTCCAGAGTCTAGGTTGATATGCAGACTTTATCTTCCAGGCACTGGAAAAATCAGTAGCTGAGTGTCCAAATAACAGTGAAAGTACTGCAGCTCGGCCTTTGACAATAGTACCAGTGTATTCCAAAGAACTATGTCTCGTTCTCTGCAAATGAAGGAATTGAACAGTACATGAACCTTTTTAAAAATCACCAGTTTATTTACTGGCAGGGAAAAATATTGTACCACTTCTGCACACACCATCCGCTTCCATCAGTGAAAATCAGATGGCATTTCTACGCAGGGTTTGTAAACTTGGGTTAACAAAGCTGCCAAGAGAGATGAGGGAGTTCCAGCAATTGAGACTGAGACAAAACTCGCTGACCAAACATTCAGCTCGTTCCCTTACCTACTTTCCATTATTCCTACCCTCATTACTAGGCTGAGTAATAGTAATTACTATTACTAGTAATAGTGAATTCTCACCAAACTCACTGAACTCGTCTTATGACATTTTTCTCACTTTATCCACCATACACTTACAAGAAAATCCATAAATCTAGCAAAATATTTTAATATAATCTATATGGTTTTGCTTGGGTATGCGATGATCAGTATGCTGCCGCATGTGTGTGCGCATGTGTGTGGGTCTGGTTGTATTTAGGCCCCTCTCTTCTCTCCTTTAGCTCATCTTGTGAAAATTTCTTATTTCAACATTAATTTAAATATATACATTTTTATTTTACACTTTTATCTTGTGCTTTTCACTTTTTCTATGGGAAAGGAATTAAAAAAAAAAGCCTAGCTACACCAAAAAGCATAAAGATTGAACAAGCCATAATCCTTCAGCTAATGGATATGCTATAATCAACAGAAATGTTACATGGAACTAATGTTTCCATTCCTTTACATTTATGGAAAGGTTCAAGACAACTGCTTTTTCATTATCAATTTTAAGTTGCAAACAAGCAGATTAAAAAAGGCAGGGAGCCCATTACTGTCTGGGAGAATTCATGTTTCTCATGGAGGGGTGAAATAAGAACTACATCCTGAGCTTTCTTGGAAAGAAGCCATTTGTCTTCCCCAGGGGTCTGGTGGGGTTTCCTGAACTCTTTCCTGGCAGTAGACGACTGTTGTTTATGGGACCATGCCAAGACGCCATGGGATTGAGGAACTCTCATTTGGATGGCTGGCCTGTCTGGCTCTCTCCTTGGTGCTGGCTGCTTGCAAGGCGCTTGCTTTTCTGGGCTTTGTTTTAGCAAGTCAGGCTGAAAAGAGGCCACCCTGCACAGTCCTTGATGGATTAATCCCCAAATGATTTCTCGGCTTGTTACCTCGACCTGACCCACCTCCCTACAAAGCTTTCCTAAATTGCTGCAGCCCTGTGGCACCTGCATTTGATCTTTCCCTTGGTACTTCAATTTTGCATGGCTTTGGAATCCAGGTTGTGATTTGGTTGCTACTGAGTTTGTAAGCCGTTTTTGAGTAGGCACTTGCAAATTGCCGTCTACCAACAGCACCTTGCTTGTAGTAAGTCCTTGAAAAATACTGTTCAATGATAATAGTGTTTTCCTATGTTCTTCCCAGAAAGCAAAGCACATGCTTTTTAAATGATAAGATTCTGTCATATACAGAAAATGTTTATCATAGGCTTACGTGGTCCACACCCCACATTATTTTTACACTATTTTTTATCTTTCCCTCCCTTTTTCAGTAATTGAACAAAACTTCTTGCCCTTCTCTGTCTCCCTCTCTGTCTCTGTCTTTCTCACATACTGCACACACACAAACTGATATAAGCTTCACAATTTTACACACACACACACACACACACACACTCATCTCTCAACAGGATCCTGAGAGTAGAGGTTAAGAGCACAGAATCGGAAGATAAACTGCCTCAGCTCCTATACCAGCTCCCATAGTTAATCCCTGTGTGACAATGAGCAATTTCCTTAGTATCTCCTGCCTCGATTCCTCATCTATAAAATGAGGACATTAATAGAACCTAACCTCATAGTCTGTTGAGTTAATCAAGTAAAGCATTTAAAAGAATTTCTGGCTCATAATGAATAGTATATTAAAATTGTCCTCTATTATTACTTTAGAGTGGTTTAGCTAAGGTGTTACTTTTCCCTCTCTGGACCATCACGTCAGATCAGATTTCCCAAATGTTCAATCTCAACTATTGAAGAAGTGGCAGTGATAGTAGAGGCAGGAATCTAAGTAGGAAAGGGGGATGCTCGTCTTGATCCAGGGGGTCCAAATCACCAACCTTTAGTTCTTTAATGGAAAAGATGCTAGTCATGAAAGAGCAACTGACTTAATTAAATAAGTTTATTTAAGTTGCAGAGAGGTTTACAAATCTTTTACACAATTTGGATTTTCTGTAGCTTTACACGATCGCTTCTCTTGAAAGTTTGAGTTTGAAAGAACTCGTCTGAAGATCTGATGTTGAATACATAGTCACGGTAGGATAGTGTCCAAGGAAAAAGATAATTATTAGGTGCAATAGTTTGGTGCTAAAATGATGCTTTCTGTTGCTTCATCTTGGTTCTATTTCTTAGTGTCCCTTATGAAAGGCCTGCTAGTGGATAAAACAGCAGATCATCAAATGCTCAGTATTTAAAATGGTTTTGAAAGAACCTAAAGTGGTGGCTGAAAGTGAGATGCCAGACTTGAAGATCATAGCAAATGAAGCTTTAGGACTTTGCTTCAATAAAGGCAAATCTTTGGCAGTGATAACTCTGCCTTAATTGAAATTTCCCCAATTATGCCTATCAATGGGGATTTGTATCTGGTACCACGAAATAAGCCCGGAGGCATGACTCCCAAGGTTACCTAATTATTGACACCTGTTCTAATTCTGCAGGCTGTGTGACATTGTATTTGGATAACTCTGAAGTTGAGGAGGTGAACCTGGTTCAGATGAGAGTGTCTGCAGCATTTGTCCGGCAAGGATGTGTACTGGACTACTCCAGCTTTATGTGTAGAAGGGTCAAAAGTCTGGAAGTAGAAGTTTATGTTGATAGGAGGCCTCACTTAGAAGTCATTCTAGTTATTTATGACTAAATGTCACAGCATTCCAGAACTTTGTGGCTTAAAGCAACAACAATCATTTATTTTGCTCATGAATCTACAATTAGGGCAGGACTTGGCAGGGTGGCTCATCTCTTCTCTGTGAGCATCGGCTGACGTGGCTTGACTGGGACTGAAAGATCCATTTCTAAAATGGCTCATGTACGTGGTTGGCAAGTTGCAGTTGTCTGTCAGCCAGGAACTCAGCCAGAGCTGTAGGCTGGCTCCTGATAGTGTTCAGAGCTAAGCTCTAAGAATGAGTGTTCCGAAAGGCCTGGTCAGAAGGTGCAGGGTTTCTTATGACTGTCTTGAAAGTCCCTGTTGTATTGTATTATTAATTAAGAAAGTCGTTAAGACCAGCCCACTTTCAAAGGGAGAGGAATTAGACTTTATGTTTAATCCGCTGCAGAAGTTATCATCTCCAAATTTCTACCTATCAGTGAGGCTATTGACAACTCTCTACTATATACACTAATTGTGCTCATTTCTTTCTGTTTCTTTTAGACAAGTGAGTCTTCTTTAATATACCCAAGAGGTATCTGTTTCTGGTGTTTTTGTCTGTCTTTTCCTTCCATTGACATTTGGCAATAACATCATCTGCATATTTCCACATATACCTCTGTCTTTTAATTGGTGTATTTATACCATTGACATTTGAAGTGATTATTGATATATTGGATTAATATCTACCATATTTATCATTGTTTTTTATTTGCCCTTGTTCTTTGTTTTTATTTTTGTCTTCCACACTTTTTCTGCTTTTTGTAGTTTTAATTGAACATTTTATATAATCCATTTTCTCTCCTTTCTTGGCATATCAATTATGCTTCTTCTAAAATATTTTTCAATAGTTTATTCAACTCAACCCTAGAGTTGGCCATATGCATTGACAAATTCCAAGTCTACTCTCAAATAACAATATACCACTTCATGTGTAGTGCAAGTACCTTATAATAACAAAATATTCCTAATTCTTCCCTCCAATCTCTATATCATTGCTGTCACTCATTTCACTTATACATAGCATTTGTTGTTAGTGTTGTCTAGTCTGTTCCAACTCCTAGTGATCCTGTGTACAGCACACAGAACCCTGTCTGGTATTTTTGCACCATCCTTTCACCTTCTGGCGCTATATCAGACAATACTCCACTGATGTTCATAGGGTTTTCATGGCCAACTTTTTTGGAAGTGGGTGGCCAGGTCCTTCTTTCTAGTATGTCTTAGTCTGGAAGCTCCACTGAAACCATGCCCACCGGCTGGTATTTGAAATACTGGTGACATAGCTTTCAGCATCATAGCAACACTCAGCCACCACAGTGTGATAATGAACAGATGGGTGGTGTGGTTCCCTGGCTGGCAAACACATCCAGAGCACTGAATCTTAACCACTAGACCACCATGCCTGGCTGCCATATACATAAGCATACAAAAGCATATACACATGCTTATATATCCTTATGTATATATATAAGCATACACACATATGTGTACATATATGTATATATAAGCATATATTATGTATATATAAGCAATTGAATACGTTTTGCCATTATTATTTTGAACAAACTGTTACTGTGAGATCAATTAAGAATAAGAAAAATAAAAGTTTTTGTTTTACTTTCATTTATTTTCACTTATTCCTTCTCTGATGCCTTTCTCTTTTTGTATATTTGAGTTCCTTACATATCATTTTCCTTCTCTCTGAAGAACTTCTTTTAACATTTCTTGCAAGGCAGGTCTACTGCTAACAAATTCCCTCAATTTTTGATTGTTTGAGAAAGTCTTCATTTCTCCTTCAATTTTGAAAGATAATTTCATAGGTATACAATTCTATGTTGGTGGCTTTTTTCTCCCAACACTTTAAATATTTCACTCCATTCTCTTCTTGCTTGCATTGTTTCTTCGGATGTAATTCTTATTTTTCCTCCTTAATAAGTAGGATATTTTTTTCCTCCGGGTTCTTTCAAGATCTTTTTATCTTTGATTTTCTGAAATTTAAAGATGATATGCCTTGATGTAGGTTGTTTTGTTTTGGTTTGGTTTCGGGGTTTTTCTTTTGGCATTTATCCTGGTTGGTGTTCTCTGAGCTTCCTGGACCTGTGGTTTGGTGTCTGGCATTAATCTGGGGAAATTTTCAATTATGACAAATATTACTTCTGTTCCTTTCTTTCTTCTCCTGGTATTCCCATTACACATATGTTATGCCTTTTGTAGTTGTCTCATAGTTCTTGGATCTTGTGTTCTGGGTTTTTTTTCAGTCTTTTTTCTCTTTGATTTTCAGTTATGGAAGTTTCTATTTCATATCCCCAAGCTCAGAGATTATTTGCTCAGCCTTGTCCAGTCTACTAATGAGTTCATCACAGAAATTCTTCATTTCTATTACAGTGTTTTTGATTTTGAGCATTGCTTTTTGATTCTTAGAATTTCCATCTCTTTGCTCACATTATCCATCTGTTCTTGCATGTTGTCTTCTTTTTCCATTAAAGTCCTTAGCCTATTAATCAGTTTTTTTCTTATAGTTCTTAGTCTGATAATTCCAACATTCTTGCCATATCTGACTCTAATCTGATGCTGTTCAGTCTCTTCAAACTGTGTTTTTGCCTTTTATTATGGCTTGTCATTTTTTGTTGAATGGTGGACATGATGAACTGGGTAAAAAGCAGTGTAGTAAATAGACCTTTAGTAATGTAGTGGTGAGGTGTCGGGGGAGGGGAAACATTCCGGAGTCCTGATTAGGTCTCAGTCTATTAGTGAGCCTGTGCCCCTGGACTGTGAACTTCACCAGTGCTTTTTTTCTCTAAAGTGTGGGGGCCCCCTATGACTGGGTGCCTCTGGAGTTTTTAACTCTCAGACTTGTCCACATTGAGCCTCCAGTCCTATGGAAGTTTCTGCTTGTGAGTTTCTGCTCAGGTGAGTTATGATTCCCTGTATTCGCCTGTCAATCTCTCTCCAATTTTGAGGACAGCAGTTTGCTCTGTGATCTCCTCTGATGGATCTAAAAAGACATTGATTTTTCAGTTTGTTCAGCTTCTTGCTTGTTGTTAGGACAGAGTAAGCTCCTTTCATGCTGACAGGAAACCACAAGTCCCAATTCATTACATCTTTAATGATAAATATCTGAATTTCAACAAAAAAATTAGACACAGATATTTTGTTGGTAATAGCTATTAAAACAGGAATTTTAGGTAAATTCCAGTTTTTTTAATTACATTAGTTTAATAAATATTTGGAGAACATGTTGAGGAGAATTTGAGAAATATTTTCACCTACTGAGGATATATGAGTGTATCATAAAAGGAGACATTCAATTAGAAGAGAAACAAAATAAAGCAAATTGTGACTACTGTACTGACTAATGCTGGTACATTCATTTCTTTTACTTCATAAAGCTAATGTTTGAGTCTTTCCTCATGATTTTCATGTATATGCAAAAAGTATTATTGATGCTTTAACTTTAACATGGAAAATATCCACATGGGTGCTTGTACTTCTAACCACTGGGAAAGGAATGTGTTATCTTTCAGGGCAAATATGTCCTGTTGTTGCAATCATTGTGGCTGGTATTGAATCCTTGGGAGCAGGCAGCATGTGGCACAGCTTGACCTTTCAGATCAGGCAGATTAAGAACATTATATTTTCCACCCAGTCAATGCAGGGCCCATGGTTAATGATTACTTAGAGCGTAAATCCCACAGCTGATTTTCTGTCATTTGGAAATGATCAGAGCCCATGTCCAGCAAAATCTGGCAGTGACATTTTTGGCAAGCTCTCTCAATAACAGATGCTTTCAGCAAGCCAGGATGTGGGGGTCGGGGGAATGGGGGTGGAAGCATTGTATATTTCAGGTAAATTTTATTTTGCTTATAGTTCAACCGTGCACTCCCATTCTTTCAAAACAATGTGTTGATACTGGAGACTTTTATCATGGTAATACATTACACATCACCACTAGAATGGAATAGTATTGCCTGCTTTCTTATTCCAGTTGCACAATTATGAATTTATTTCCATAACATTGTCAGAAGTGCACTGGAATAATTTCAACCATCTTGGGCAATAGCTTCTCCTTAATATTCATCAGGATAAGCTTTTTGGGTCACTAAAAAGGGAAATTTGAAATGCCCATCTTTATTAAAATAGAGAAGAGGATATAGAGGAGTAGAATCGAGGTAAGGAGTCATATAAGTAAGGGAATGGGAATTTCCCTCCAGGAGCAAATGCCTGGTGCATAGCTCACCCTTCTGTTCATTGTTGTTCTTGTTGCTTCTGCTTTCTTTCTCTCTCCATATCTCTCTTTACATTCAAACTGTACATGCTAGTATGGAGTAGACAGCACTATATATCTACTGGACAAAGAGCGTAGGCCGAGCTGGGGTAGACTAAGGTTTCCACCCTGCAAGGTTTTCCCCATGGCTTTCATCAGGCCCTGGACACCTGTGCTGCCCTACATTTGAGATGTGTTCCAAAAACACGATGCATGCAAGTAAATCACTGATCAAAATTGCAAGGGAGCCGGAGTTAGCTTTTGATCCTGCTTATTTTTCTTTTTGTGACACTTGCTTTGCTGCTTTTCAGTCACACAGATCCCTGAGGATGGACTACAGATGCTGTTTAAATCCAACTCACCAAGCGCTCCATGCTCCAAAACTATGAGATTTTTCATTATATTCACAGACATCAAGTTATGAATGACTGATAGGCAACACTTTCTGAAGTATCCACATGTAAAATGAGTGCCTATTGGACTAAATTATTCTTGAATAATAAGATTACTAGATTGGAAGATGAAAAAAGAGTATATCTATAAGATATTTGATAATTTTTCTCCCTCTCTTATTATAGGTACTAGTTAAGCAGCTGTATTAAAATGACTTAAGATATAAAGATAGATAATGCAGGGCTGATATGGAAATGCTGCCATCATTGACATGTGGCTTCCATCATATCCAAGTCAATTGCTCTATTTGCAGCCATCTCCCAGTAAGTGGGACGAGAAGGGAAAAATACAGATTGTTTTTACTCCCATTCCATTGACTGGAACATAGTCACATGGCCACATAAATTGCAATGGAGGCCAAGAAATATACTCTCTAGCTAAGAAAACATATTCCTAGACCAAACTTCCATGCTTTAAAGAATGTGACCATTACATTATCAAATAAAAGCCAAGTGGTTAGTGTTAGATAAATACAGGCGTTACCACACTATTTTTGTAAAATGGATAGGGAATTTGGTCCAGAAGACGTACCATTAGGTGGATTTGATGTTAGTTAAACTATATTACCCAGAGAGTTTCGATTCCAATATTGATTGCAACCTGATATGGTTATTTCTTGAGGTAAGATAAGAAAAGCTTCAGTTGGGCATTACCCCATATACCACAAAATACAAAGATAGAAAATGTGTTCTCATCAATTTTGAAGATGACATAAATGTGGATGGAAAAGCCAGCTCACAAGATGACAGAATCTAAATTCCGTAAAATCTGGGCAGACTGAAATAATGAGCTGAAATTAAAAAGATGGGAATTAATAAATATTAAATGGAAAGTGACTTTAAGCTCACAATAACCGTACTAGAATGACTTAGCAGTTCATGTACTAAGGATATAAGAATTCCCTTTAAGCATAATCTGATAAATATTAGTATTGAGGCATAGCTGCCCTAAGAGCTAAATCTATTTTTTAAAAAGCAAGTAATGATTCTACTGAATGCTGCATCAAATTGAACACATCCATATCATTGTCATTAAGAAAAATGCCACATTTGAAAGGGGCTTCAACAACATAGAGTAAATACACATAAGGACTACAACAATAGTTGCCTATTTTAAATGATTGAAGAAACTATGAATATTTTTCTTGAAGAAGACAAAGCTTATGAGAGACAATGAATGTTAACAATCTTCAAATATCTGAAGAGCTGTCAACAGAGCATGTAGTCCTCTAGCCCAAACTGGAATATTTGGGTTATGCTGAGATAGATTTTTAATTCAGTATAGGAAAGCTGATTCCAATAAAGATTTCCAATAATAACACTTTTAAAAATGGTATACCTTTGGAGGGAGCAATGTTTCTAATCTGTATTTTTTCACAACCTCTAAGGTTTTTTCCAACTCAGAGACTCTATAATATCATTATGTATTTTTGAGCAAAGCGATTCCCTCAGCTCCACATATGCATTGATATACAGGCATATGTACAAATATGAGTACAAATAATCCATCAGAAATAAGATAAATAGCACTCATATTGGTTGCCTGGTAAAGTGTACTACACAATTACTCCCACCTCCAATTTTTCACCTTTGCCATGACTTTCCCTTCTATAAGGGTTTAGTTAAAACATAATCATGGTAATTGAAATACGAACCAGCACAACATAGAATATTCAAAACCTAGATATAAAGGGTTTTACCATTTATGGAGCTTTGAGTGTGTTAACCATTTAGCAATGCTTGGCTTATTATATTTATGTAGCATTAAGGAATAGGTAGTATGCAGCTTTGAAAACTAAAGTAACCACTGCAAGTTATTAGAAAGACAGAGTGCATTCTTCTACTCCAGTTCCAAGATTGAAGATATGATCACACGATTCTTATTTCATCATCGGGATGTCGTGATATAGGCATGTCCTTGAAGTCACATGACTTGAGTTTGCGTCATTGATCCTGGACGTTTTTAGTCCTTTGAATTTCGTCAAATCACTTTGTCTCTCTTATCATTGATTTCTTCATATTTAAATGAGAATGATGACTGCCTTACAGTATTATCTGGAACATCAAATGAGACAATCATGCAAAACTCTTTGTAAATTTTATACCAGTAAGATATTATTATTTTTCCTGGAGCACTGAAATGTTTTCAAAGACTAAATTTTCTCTTATTCTGAATTTCTCATTTATCCTTATGGATTATCTGTATCCTCTTTTCAATTTCAGTCTGGCTCTTCCCTGCCACCTGTCATACATCTGGGCTATTTTTTCCATTCCCATGCTTGCTCCCCCATCCACTCCTATCAATTACTAATTTCTCAAATAAAAATTCATTTTTAACAATAGCTTAAGAAAAAAATATGGGGAAAAAAGTGGCTATCAAATATCACATAAGCAGAAAGCCAGATATGACTGTTCTTTAAGTTAATGGAAGCATTGAACAAACTCAAATAGCAGAAAGTTAGCCACAGCTCAAAAACACAGAAGAAACTGGAGGATTCCAAAGCTCATAACCTGCTTAGTATCTACAATAGCCAACAATCCCGAGTAAGGAAGTGATTGATCACTGCAATGCCCCACACACCCTTCCTCATATGTTGTCACCTCCTCACCTCTTCATCTACTGTGGCTCTGGTAGCTTTTGTGCCTGATGTTAGATAATCACCTTCACCTTCTGAGGTATGTCTGTGATGTATATCTTCTCCCAGAAACAGAGGGAGATAGATAAGTGGAAATTTGAGGTGAAGAGTATAAAGTATTCACTTCTCGTCACAAGAGGAAGCAGTAGCCATTGTAGTGACTAGGTTGCCTATGCCAAGTAGGTTTCCTGGGCTGCTATGGAAGAAAGGAGGTAACTGTAAGAACTAATGAGCATTCTAGGCATCCTCTCTTTCAAATGACAATTAAGATGAGTAAAATTTTGAATTTAAATTGCTGGCCTAGCAGAATAGCTATTTAAAAAGGGACTCTTCTAAAACTGGAAAAGTCACAAATATATGGAAATTAAACAAAATGCTACTGAACAACTACTGGATCAAGGAAGATGTCAAAAGAGAAATTAAAAAATACCTGGAGACAAATGAGAATACAACATACCACAATCTGTGGGATACAGTGAAAGCGGTACTATGAGGGAAGTTTATAGCAATACTGGCCTACCTGAATAAACAAGAAAAGTCTCAAATAAACAATTTAACATTACACCTAAAGGAACCAGAAAAAGAACAAACAAAGCCTAAAATCAGTAGAAGGAAGAAAATCATAAAAATCAGAGCAGAAATAAATGAAATAGACTAAAAAGACAATAGAGAAGATCAATGAAACTAAGAGCTGGTTCTTTGAAAAGATAAACAAAATTGACAAGCCTTTAGCTAGACTCACCAAGAAAGAAAGAGAGAAGGCTCAAATAAATAAAATCAGAAATAAAAGAGGAGAAATTACAACGAATATCACAGAAATACGAAGAATTATAAGAGAATACTATGGAAAGGTATACGTGAACAAATTGGATAACCTACAAAAAATGAATAAATTCTTAGAATTATACAACCTTCCAAAACCGAACCAAGAAGAAATAGAGACTCTAAATAGACCCATCACTAGCAAAATTGAGAGATTGAAGCAGTAATCAAAAACCTCCTAAAACACAAAAGTCAAGGACCAGATAGCTTCCCCAGTGAATTCTGCCAAACCTTCAAAGAAGATTTAATACCTATCCTTCTCACACTCTTCCAAAAAATGGAAGAGCAGGGGATGCTTCCTAACTCATTCTACAAGGCCAATATTAACCTGATATCAAAATAAGAAAAGGATAATACAAAAAGAAAAAATTAGGCCAATATTGCTTATGAACATAGATGTAAGAATCCTCAACAAAATATTGGCAAATCAAATACAACAATACGTTAAAAGGATCATGGGGCCAGCCCAGTGGCTTAGTGGTTAAGTTCAGCATGCTCTGCTTCGGCGGCCCAGGGTTCGTGGATTCGGATCCTGGATACGGACCTATACCACACATCAAGCCATGCTGTGGTGGTGACCCACATACAAAATGGGCACAGGGAGGAAGATGGGCACAGATGTTAGCTCAGGGCCACTTTTCCTCAAGCAAAAAGAGGAAGGTTGGCGACAGGTGTTAGTTCAGGCCCAATCTTCCTCACCAAAAAAAAAAAAAAAAAAAGATCATGCACCACAATCAAGTGGGATTTATACCTAGGATTCAAGGATGGTTCAACACCCACAAATCAATCAACATGATACACTACATTAACAAAATAAAGACTAAAAATCACATGGTTATCTCAATAGATGCAGAAAAAGCATTCAACAAGATTCAGCATATATTTATGAAAAACATCTCAATAAAATGGGTGTAGAAGGAAAGTACTTCTACATAATAAAAGCCATATATGACAAACCCACAGCTAACATCATACTCAACAGTGAAAAACTGAAAGCTATCCCTCTAAGAACAGAAACAAGAGAAGGATGCCCACTTTTGCCACTCTTATTCAATGTAATATTGGAAGTCCTAGCTGGAGCAATCAGACAAGAAAAAGAAATCAATGGGATCCAAATTGGAAAAGAACACGTAAAACTGTCATTATTTGTAGATGACATCATTTTATACATAGAAAACCCTAAAGAATCCACCAAAAAACTGTTATAAATAATAAACTAGTAAAGTTTCAGGATACAAAATTAACATACAAAAATCAGTTGCATTTCTATACACTAACAATGAAATAACGGAAAGAGAAATCAAGAATATAATCCCGTTTACAATAACAACGAAAAGAATAAAATACCTAGGAATCATTTAACCAAGAAGGTGAAAGACCTGTGCACTGAAAACTACAAAACATTGTTGAAAGAAATCTAGGAAGACACAAAGACATGGAAAGATAGTCCACGCTCACTGGTTGGAATAATTAACATAGTGAAGTGTCCATACTACCTAAAACAATCTATAGAGTCAATGCAATCCCTATCAGAATCCCAACAACATTTTTCACAGAAATAGAATGAAGAACCCTAAAATTTATATGGAACAACAAAAACCTCAAATATCCAAAGCAATCCTGAGAAAAAAGAACAAAGTTGGAACAAATCACACTCTCTAATTTCCAAGTATACTACAAAACTGTAGTAATCAAAACAGCATGGTATTTGTAGAAAAACAGACACACAGATCAGTGGAACAGAATCGAGAGCACAGAAATAAACCCACACATCTATGGAAAGCTAATTTTTGACAAAGGAGCCAAAAATATACAATGGAGAAAGGAAAGTCTCTTTAATAAATGATGTTGGAAGAGCTGGACAGCCACTTGCAAAAGAATGAAAGTGGACCATTATCTTACACCACACATAAAAATTAACTCAAAATGGGTTAAAGACTTGAATGTAAGACCTGAAATCATAAAACTTCTAGAAGAAAATGTAGGCAGTACACTCTTTGACATTGGTCTTAGCAGTATCTTTTGAATATGTCTCCTCAAGCAAGGGAAACAAAAGGAAAAATAAACAAGTGGGACTACATCAAACTAAAAACCTTCTGCATGGTAAAAGAAACCATCAACAAAATGAAAATACAACCTATCAATTGGGAGAAGATATTTGCAAATCATATATCCAATAAGGGTTAATATCCAAAATATATAAAGAACTTCTACAACTCAAAAAAAAAAAAGAAAAGAAAACCCAATTGAAAAATGGGCAGAGGATCTGAACAGACATTTCTCCAAAGAAGATATACAGATGACCAACAGACACATGAAAGATGTTCAACATCACTAATTATTAGGGAAATGCAAATCAAAACTACAATGAGATATCACCTCATGCCCATCAGAATGGTTATTATGAAAAAGAAAAGAAAAAACAACTGTTAGAGAGGATGTGGAGAAGAGGCAACTCTCATACACTGCCAGTGGAATGCAACCAGTGCAGCTGTTATGGAAAACAGTATGGAGATTCCTCAGAAAATTAAAAGTAGAACTACTATATGATCCAGCTATTCTACTTTTGGATATTTATCCAAAGAACATGAAAACACTAATTTGAAAAGATATATGCTTCCCCATGTTCCTCGCAGCATTATTCACAATAGTCAAGACTTGGAAACAACTTAAATGCCCATCAACGGATGAATGGATAAAGAAGATGTGGTATATATATACAATGGAATACTAATCAGCTGTAAAAAATGATGAAATCTTTCCATTTGCAACAACATGGATGGAACTTGAGGGTATTATGCTAAGTGAAATAAGTCAGAAGGAGAAAGCCAAATACCATATGATTTCACTCAAATGGGGAAGATAAAACAACAACAACAAACAATTCATAGATACAAAGAATAGATTCGTGGTCACCAGAGGGGAGGACAAAATGTGTAGAGGGGCACATGTGTACTGTGACGGATGGCAACTAGACTTTTGGTGGTAAACACAATGTAGTCTATACGAAAGTTGAAATATGATGTACACTTAAAATTTATATAATGGTATAAACCAATGTTACCTCAATTAAAATAAAGTTAAATTAAAAGGGACTATTCTTCCCTAAGTAATCTAAAGAAATTCTCTATGATTTAGAAAGAACAATTAAAAACTGATGTCCACAGTCAGTTACATGAAAGTGTTTTCTCAGTCTTCTTTAGATTAGGTGACATTTGGGGGCTTAGAGCTCTTTGTGAATGTAAAATTGTGTACAAAAGTGACCAAGCCTATAAATGAGCATATTCTTCATTTAAGGTGCAATGAGGGTCACTGTCCTTTCATTGCAAATGACAATTTTTAAAATGTGGAGGCATAAATGGAGATTGGCAAAGAAAAGTGATACTTGAAGCATCCTTTATGCTGCAGATTTTTCTGTGTTATTAACCCCAAAAGTCACAGTTGAAACATTAACAGAATTTATATTCATTGAACCAGAAAGGAGATTCTGGGGTGATGTTACACATCCCCATTGTCTGGGCAGCGTTTTATAATACCTGTCCAAACAGAACTTCAGAAATATCTTAAACCTCACTCTGTTAACTCCTCTAGTCAAAGTTAATTATTCATACCTCTGTGTTTCTAAGATATCTTTTACATATGTTAATTATAGCACTTATCACATTGAATTTAATCATATAAAATTTAAGAATGTTGTTTTTTCATTTTAGCTAGTGCTACATACTGAGTATAAGGGAATTCCATTTCTTGTATGTGACCTACATTCAAATATTACTTTTATCATTCATTCATTATTCAACAAATTGTGCCAAACATTATTCTGGGCACTAGATATGGCTTATAGGAGGTATTTGAGGAATAAACATAAAAACACATCTTAAAAATTCAAAAGGATACATACTATTTTAATAAAGCAATCTTCATTGCCTGAGGATCAAAAAGACCTCACAAAAACAGCAGCATTTGAGATGAATCTGGAGGAAAAATAAGATTTTGCAGGTAGAGAGGTTCAAGGAGAACATGGAGGTATTACAGGCACATTGCAATGCAATTACACCATTGTATTAGCTTGCTAGGGCTACGTATCAAGGTACCACAAACTGGGTGGTTGAAAACAACAGAAATATATTATCTCACAGTTCTGGAGGCTAGGAGTCCAAAATCAAGGTTTTGGCCAGGCCATGCTTTCTGTGGAGTGTCTAGAGGAGGATCCTTTCTTGCTTTTTCCAGCTTCTAGTAGTCACAGGCATTCCTTGGCTTGTAGCAGCATAACTCCAATCTCTGCCTCTGGCTTCACATGGCCACATCCTCTTCTATAGATGTTATGATGTCCCTACATTACTTTCCTCTGTGTGTGTTTCTGTGTCTTTACCTGGCATTCTCTTCTTTGTGTGTGTCTGTGTCCATACTTCCCTATTCTTATAAGGACACCATTCATATTGGATTAGGACCCACCCTAATGACTTCACCTTAACTTCAGGACCTCTACAAAGACACTATTTCCAGTAAGGTCACATTCACAGGTACCCAAGGTTAGGATTTTAAAAATCTTTTGGAGGGACACAATTCAATTCATAACACCCATATTTACAACCCAAACATCTATCAGAGAATTTACAAAATTCTAGGCACACAATACGTGCTGGCTAAATAAAAAAAAGTTCTTTCTTACATCCTATTGAAATCCTCACACTGTCATTTAAAATTCTGTAATTTATTTT